ATGTAGTGTTAAGAAAAGGCTGGGCTTTGATCTGTCTGATTTTATATTTCAGCTACTTCTGTTGTTCCTGATTTGTTTATAAGATGTTCCTGTGTTAGTTATATATTGTTCCTTGTTTGAGCCCTTATTGTAATTACATAACACAAACACAGTCATCTTTTGTTTTACATTACCCCAAAGGAGCTAGATAGAAGTCTGCTTATAGATAATAGTACTGCTCTGTTTTCGTACATTTTCTTTCTTTTTAATAACTCCCAACATGTTAGGGCATTTTTCTCTTAATGTTTATTAAATGCTCTCAGCCAGCTCACTACTGTTGAAAGAATATAAAAGACACAATTCTTACCAATAAAGGACATGCATATTAATAGCTGAGAGGCACAAATATGCTTACATGTATGTATATATAATATATATATATATATATATACATATATATATATATATATATATATATATATTCCTGGAAGATGATTGATTATTTTTTTGCATGAAGCAAAATAATTCAACTAATGCACACTGTTCTTTCACTGTTGTTTTGCAAACAAAACAAAAGAAGAATACCTGCAACCTTCAGAATCAAACCTTGGCAGAATTGGCTCTTCGGTGAAAATAAAATTAAATCATGTTTGCTGAAGTTAGCCTTATTTTGGTAGTTTTGTGATACTTTTGTAAGAGATTTTGAACCAAAGGTAGCTCTACTGTATGTGATTTTTGTAATTCAAGAATTCTGGTACTCAGATGATTTAGTGATCTTTTTGTAGATCCTATTATGTGCTGAGTCACTTACTAGGAGCTGAGGATGAAATGGCGAATAAACAGATGTGTCTCGGCCTCAATGGAGCAGGCAGGTGGAGATGCAAACATTAAACAAACAGTTGTACTAATCAAGGTAGAATTGCAGGAACATATTCTTATGATTCTATGAGATGATATAATGACATTAGCCTTGCCCCAGGAGTGATGTAAGGGAAGAGGAATCCAAGTGGAGGGTGGAGGTAGGAGAAAGTGCTTCAGGCAGAGGAATCAGCAAGCATGACACAGTCAAGGCACTAAAGCAGGCCATCATGGCCAGGTATGATTTGCAGTGAGGCTGGAGAGGGGGTCTGGACCAGATCCTGCAGGTCCTTTAGGTTAGGGTAGGACAATGATCTTCATTCAATGAGTTAGGTAAAGCATATTGAATAGTTCCTGGCATAGTATAAATGTTTAATGTGATACTATTATTCTGATTCAATTTTAAAAGCCATGTTATAAAAGAGTGTTGAGTATCAATTCATACTATTTAAAAGCAAAGTAAAGCCTCAGAAGGATTTTGTCAGGGATACTACATATAACCTTAGAGCTGTGGCTATGAGTGGTACAGCACTTCCCTCACATGTGTGAGACCCAAAGTTTGATCCCCAGCACTGCACAAAAATCCTATAGTCATATTTGCATTTTGTAAACATTGTTCCAGCTACTGTGTAGATTGAGAGAGGAGAGTGGCACAAATGGGTGTAAGAAGCTCAGAAGCAACTGTCATCTACTAGGGTGGCAGAATGGACAGCGCGGAGCTTGTGGCTCGTTGGTATCTCCAGCCTATGGCTCCAGAGGTACCTAACTGAGGATGTCTGGGTTATATACAAGATTGTGTAAACATATGGCTTCTTTTTAAGAAGGTCCAGCGTATGCAATTCGTTACAGCCCCTCCTACCTGTGCACATTTATGTTCTCCCAGAACCTCAGCATCTCCCCTCCTTTATCACATTAGGGTTAGTGATGCTTATCTTCAAGGGTTCTTGGGGATTAAGTTAAATATGATAACATGTAGAAGATCAACAAGATGCCAGACACATGGTAAGTGTTCAGTCAGTGAGGCATCAACCAATGAGCTGAGAGACACCATTCTACAACTTTATACAGGAAACAGAATCTCTAAGAGATAAAGAGAAAGTCCAGTCCACTGCTCACAGATTTGGTGCCCTTAATAGATGTGGATCTTGTACTGTTCACATGGACTTTGAGGAGTACATGAATTCCCAGAAAAGTAGGTGAATTTTGTGTGTACTTGCATGTACACATGTGTGCATATGCTATTTCAATTTATCCCTCCTTCCCTCTTTTCCTCCCTTCTTCTCTTCCTCCCTCCCTCCCTCCCTTCCTCTCTTCCTTTAGTTCTCTCATTTTTTTGAGACAGGGTCTTGCTGTGTAGCCCCGACTGGCCTTGAACTTGAAATCCTCCTGCCTCAGCATCCCAAGTGCTGGGATTACAAGCATGTTCACCACACCTGGCTTCTTTCATTTTTAATCAGTTTTTTAATGAAAAAATAATGCATGGGCATAAACCATTCTTCTTTACTGTTTTTCTAGTGTCTTTACAACTATAAACATATATGGACTATAGAGTCTTCCTTTTTTTCTCTCTGCAACAGTTGGGTTATGTGTTTTACAGGTTCCGCACCTTTATTTTTTACCCATGATAGCTAGGAGTTCAACCCCTTTTCATTCATGTAGAATTAGTGAGCTGTGGATGGTCACTGGCTGGTTACATCCTTTGCACTTACACTTAGCTTTAACATCCATCCTTGTACATAAGTGACTCTGCACAATACATCTTTAGAAATAGAAAGGCTGGGGCAAATGCAGATGTAAATGGAGATGCAGTTTATCATTTTCTTGGTATACAGAGCACCTCGTAAAACAGTTGTCTCACCTCATGCGTTTCACCAATCTTGTGTAAACCACCCTTGTTGTCTGCATCCTCACAACAGTGTGTTTCATCAACCCTTCCAGCTGTTGCCAGTGAGACTGGGGAGGAAAAGAAGTGATACCCATAAAGACCAGGAAGAATCTTGGCCAAGTGAAAGAAGGTCAGACTTGAATCTAAATTAGGAAAGGAAACTAATAACCTTTCTACACTTCTGTGTACCAGGTGGTGACTTGCCCCGACAGTTCACAGGTTACGTCCTTCAATCCTCATAACCACATTAACCCATAAACACTATTATCCTCCATTTGACACTGACATTCAGTCTTTGTCACTATGTCTGTGCCCTTCTCCATTTACTGTTGAGGAAGCCAACACCAAAAGAGACTAAATAATTTATCCAAGGTCCCAAATCAATTTAAGTCAAGACAGAGGTTCCATTTAACAACGTATTGGACTACACTGGGATTCCAGACTATACCAGGGAGGCCACAAAAGAGCCGAATGTGTCTTCAGGATGTATTTCATCCACAGTTTGCCATAAATAGTGAGTTCACACATTTCCTATAATCGAAGAGTTTCCATTATACTTGAGTAGCCATGATTTTAAACACGCTGGCATTTTTCACATTGGTGATCAGTATTCTGTAAGGTTCTTCCTCAGAGACTCCATGTTCTTTTCTGCCAAAACTACTGTATTTATATTTACCCAAGAAACCCTTGTCGAAAGCTATGTGAGATGAAACTCTAAGCTTTGGGGATTTTCGATTTTCTTATAAAAGATTATGCAGCCACTCCTGAATTCTACCCTTCGTCTTCCAGAATCTTAAAATTGGTCAGTAAATCCCTCCTTTTTGTTGTACGTAGAGGCTGAGGCTGGACCCTGTGTCCTGTTCCTCATTGTTTGCTGCTGCTCAGAGCCCAGGATCACTGAGATTAGCCGTTTCAGCCGGATCTCCCTGTCTGTCCTCATCCCTCTCTTGTGTTCAGAGTCCAGGATTCCTTCTGTGTAGGTCAGGGCATTTTCCACTTGAATGAAAAATGTGAGTCTTCCTTTGAAACATTAATGATGATGCAACATTCAATTATAGCAGAAAGTCCCAATGAAGAGATGACTTATAAATGGCACAAAAATTGGGTGGAATGATGGTTGAGAATGCGATAAAAAGAATTACAATTAAGTGTTGTTCTGGAATAAATTAACTTGTACCCACAATTTTGTTTTTAGTTAAGAAAACCCAAGTTTTTCATTATGCAATATTGACTATGGTTGTTGTTTAGGGCAGAACTGTGATTGTTCTGAAGAATTAGTCATTTAATGTATTTGCCCAAAGCCAGGAAAGTGTCAGTGCTGAAGAATGGAATAGGAGTACAGCAGAGGTCTTAGAAATTAAGTAGCCCAAAGTCCAATTTTACAGAAAAAACAGCAGAGGCTCAGTAAGTATGTGCTCCTTAGTTGTTGTGAATGTCAGCTAAACAGAGGCAAGTTCTCCTGTCTTCTTTGTAGGGTTCAGTTTTCATTTACTGATCCACATTTTATAATCTGCTTAGAGAATATGGCTGTTTGGGATTTTGTTCATTTGTTTTTCCAGAGTGAACTTGGACTTATTTTCAGACCCAACTGTTTTTAACTAAGAAAATGGGTACAAAACAAGAAGACCCAAATGTTAAAGAAAAGAGTAAGATAAAGTAGTTCAAACTATTTTTAAACAGGAAGCTTAGCTGATTGATAGGATGTGTGGTTTTTGTTTTGTTTTAGAAATCGCCACTCCACTTTTAGTTTGGCAATATATGAATAAGGTCCTATGCATTTATAGTGTCTACTGAAGTCAGGAGACAAACTGTGTTATCTTTGTGAAAGATCAACTCCTTAAGATGTGTTTCAAATTAACTATATAAATAATCTCACAAGGTCTTCGCTGTGCATTTCTCAGAGCAAACAAAATGCAATATGTTTTTATAACCATAGAACTATTTGACTTTTTTCCATTCTTCCCCACATTTGGGTATAGATTGATATAGAATTACTTAAAATGCTGCATATAAATTAAACATTAAGCAGGAGATATGGAGAGGCTAAGCTGCGCCATTATAATCACCACTGCCTCAAGGACACCCCACTTCATATCACATGTCCTTCTTTTGAAAAGTGATCACCAAGGTTCACGTAACATTTAAGCACAGCAGGCAACTGCATAATTTATGGATCTTTTTGTTTTGCGTTCTTATTTTAATGAAAAACAGAAAACTAGACTGTTTTCAGACGTTAACATCTTTCTTCTGTGCTTTCCCTCCCACCTTGCCTTTGCAGATTGGGGCCTTGAAGGACTATTACCACTTCTACCACAGCAGGACGATTAAAAGGTCAGTTCTCTCGAGCAGAGGAACCCACAGTTTCATTTCAATGGAACCAAAGGTAAGAAGAACCAATTGGGTGGGGACCAAGAAGCAAAGCTTCTGCATTTTTCATTGGTGACAACAGACTGGGAGCCAGTGACCAGCATGAAGCTCACATTTCAAGACCTGTCATACTATTCTTTGGTTTAGCATCAACGCAAAAGTATGCAGTGTTCAGACAAAAGTACGCATATGGCTTGATTTTTACTGAGGTACTACTGTCATCTCAGGTATGGAACAGCCCAGGGGTAGCCACAGGTGTGGGTTTCTCATGGAGACATGTGAGGGAGTAGGGATTAGGAAGGTAGAGATAGAGAATTTTTGAAATATGAATACCATACTTATTTGCATACAGACTTGATATCTGTGAGTCCCATAGAAGGAGGGATTTTTTCCATAGACCTTTAAGTCAGAACTCTGGTTCCCTAGAATTCTTTTGATTTTTTCTTGACTTTGGTAATCCAGAACTAGACCATGTTTGGGGCAGGAAGGATGCTTGAAATCAGATGGGTAGAAGCTGACTTATGCTCTTAGGGGGCTCATCTAGCATCTTTCTTCCACCATGTCATTTTGGGTTGCACAGACAATATACCCCTGCAGAGCAGAAAAGGAAGTATCACAATCTCTGCTTTAGCTGAGTGAAGCAGGGTGACATGAAAGATGGGAAGCTGAAAGGTATTAGAGACAATCTAATAGAAGACAGTAAGACTCTGATGTGGCGTTAACTATCTGTCCTTATTAATTAAGTGGAGGAAAGAGCTAACTTCTTTTTTTTTTTTCATTTTTCTTTTATTATTCATATGTGCATACAAGGCTTGGTTCATTTCTCCCCCCTGCCCCCACCCCCTCCCTTACCACCCACTCCTCCCCCTCCCTCTCTCCCCCCTCAATACCCAGCAGAAACTATTTTGCCCTTATTTCTAATTTTGTTGAAGAGAGAGTATAAGCAATAACAGGAAGGAACAAGGGTTTTTGCTGGTTGGGCATTGACTCACATTGATTTCCTGTGCGTGTGTGTTACCTTCTAGGTTAATTCTTTTTGATCTAACCTTTTCTCTAGTTCCTGGTCCCCTTTTCCTATTGGCCTCAGTTGCTTTAAGGTATCTGCTTTAATTTCTCTGTGTTAAGGGCAACAAATGCTAGCTAGTTTTTTAGGTGTCTTACCTATCCTCACCCCATCCTTGTGTGCTCTCGCTTTTATCATGTAAGAGCTAACTTCTAATGGGAACTAATTGGCCTCCCCAAAATGGCAAGTACTGAGGAAGCAACATAGCCTTCCACCTCCTCTCAGTTCCTCTGTGAGCTCACAGTACATTATTTATTAATTAGGGTATTTTGCTTTTTTGCCTATTATGATTTGGGTTTGCCATAAAAGCTCATGTCGAAATAAAGTGATAAACAAGACCCTACCAGCCAGCCTAGCAGTCCCAGGTAGAGATTCCTGGAAAACTGTTTTCCTTACTAAGGCAGAGCTCCTGTCTGACTTACTATGCAAATCAGGTTTGCAATTTGGAGTGCTGCCCTCTGTGATGTGCCATGGCTTACTTTGTTAAATTTTTCTCTGGACTATTATGACATACTGTTCATGATTGTGAAATTGTATCTTGGTGGTTAGAAAAAGTACATTTCTCTTAGGTCCCAATTTTCTGTGAGTTACAGAGACATCCCCTGAAACTTACATTTCAGTGGCCTGCAGATTAGATTTTCTTCTTATCTCTATTCAGAATTTAATTTTTCTGGAAAAATTTGGGACACTTTTGAATTAGCTACATTTTCAAAGCAAAGTCAATTTTTTTTTTATCTGTTAAACAACTGTCTTGAACTTTGGTAATTAAAAGGATTTCGATTTCAGACTTCATGTGGTAAATCCATGTGATGTCCTTGTTGGTTTGGGAAGTAGGAACAGAATGTAATGAGACTTTGTTGTCCTGTGAAAGATTTACCAAATATGGAGCTGTCTCTACCCTTATTGTTATCTTGGGCATCTTGGTTTTCATTTTTTCTTATCTCAGTGTATGAAATAACTTCATGAGACAACAGAGATCTTGGATCTGGGACTCACTGTACCTGGAATGTACCGGCATCCTCACTCAGCCCTGAGCCGTAGGGCCCCTCAGGCCAGCCCAAGGGTACCAGCTCCATCCGCCTTCTTCCCCAATAAGAAGAATCCCTGCGAGCAGGGCTGTACCTCACTGTCCGTGCTTTCTGCTTGTCTCTCCCAGCCATTTTCTTAGGAAGACACAGTTCTATATACTTTGCAGATGAAGTGCCACAAATAAGGGATTGCCCACAATTTCTTCCAGATACTTCTTGTAGTCTATTGATTTATTGGTCATTTCTTGAGCTCCTAGTATGTGTGAGACCATGTTAGGCTCTGGGGATTTGGAGACGGAGATGTGGTGGTTCTCTGAGGGAGCTTGCTGTTGGCGTCTCCAACAACAGCTTTCAGGGAACCTTGGGACATAGTGATGCATCTTAGCGTTGAAGATGGTGAAGCAGAGGAGAGGGGATCCCACAGTGTTCCAGCTTAATCCTTGGCAAACTTAGGCCTACCTAGCATGCTTTTTCTTTTCTTTTCTTTTCTTTTTTGTTTTTTTGTTGTATTGGAGTTTGAACTCAATGTCTCATAATTATTAGGTGCTCTGCTGCTTGAGTCACTCAACCAGCCCTTTTTTGTGTTGGGTATTTTCAAGATAGGGTCTTGCAATCCTCCTGATTTTTGCCTCCTGAATAGCTAAGATTATAGGTGAGAGCCACTGGTGCCTAGCCTTTTTTCTTTTTGCAATCCAAAATACATTCTTATAGCTTTCACAGATTCCCCACATTTACTTGATCATTCTTTGTCTTTTTACACACACATACACACACACATACACACACACACACACGTGTATATATAGATATATGCACATATTTTATGAACATTAAAAATGTACTTCAAATCTAACTATTACATTGTGTATTTATTAAAAAGAACATTCTGTAACCATAAGTATTACAATAAAAAATATTAACATCAATTCAGTATTATTATTCAATCCACAATTTTCAATGGTCTCTTCTCTGGGCCAGGATCACATTTGGTTGTCATGTTTTCTAGGTCCTCTTTACTCTGTCATACTTCTTTCAGTTTTCTGTTCTTTTTCCTTGCAAAGATATCCTATTCCTGAAGAGGATAGTCCAGTTATTTTGTAGAATAAACTTCAATTTGGGTGTGTCTGTTTCCTTATGACCAGATTCAAGTTTAGTAAGAAGAGTTTTGGTGAGAAGAGCAGAGAAGTGGCGTGTCCTTAGTGCATTAGACCGGAAGGCTCAGGATGCAAATTTGTTTCATCATTGAAGGTGTTAATCATAATCATGTGGTTAGGTTTGTGGCTATAGATTTCTCTACTTTAAAATTACTATTTTCCTTCTTTTGTGTGTGTGTTGCCTATATCTTGAGCCACTCCACTCCACCATCCCTTTTTGTGTTAGGTATTTTCAAGAAAGGGTCTCACGAACCATTTCCCCCACTGGCTTCGAACCTTGATCCTCCTTATCTCTCCCTCCTGAGTAGCTAGGATTACAGATAAGAGCCCACCAGGGCCACACCTATTTTCCTTTTCTTAATAAGTGCTTTGTCGAAATTTTGTTTATTAGTCTGTTTTCCGTTTCTATAACAAAATACCTGAGGCTGGGATCTGTTTTCCATTTCTATAGCAAAATATCTGAAGCTAGATAATTTGTAAAGAAAAGAGGCTTATTTAGTTCACAACTTTGAAGGATAAAGTCCAAACAGCATGGTACCAGCCCTGGGGAGGATCCCCTTATCTGTGTCACCTCATGATAGATGGCATCATGGTGAGAGTATATAAGAGAGGTATGACATAGCAAGACAGAAAATCAGAGATGGGCAATCTTGCTCTTAGAAACAAGTTCCTCTCTTGGGAACTGATAAATACCTTAATCTCTCCCAAAGGTGACACCCCTGAAGACCTAATGACCTCCCACTAGATTTTACTTTAAAATGTCCAATTACCTCTTAACTTTGCCACACTGAAGACCAAGCTTTCAGCATATGAATTCTTTGGGGAAAAACTACATCCAAACCATAGCACTCTGTAAATTCCCATGAGCTTATTTTACATTCTTCACTCCTAGTGAACCTCAGTGAGAGCATACAGCAAGTGTGGGTGTGGTTTGCTTTCTTGGGTGGGTCTTCTTTTCTTTAATCTATGGTGTGCAGACAGTAGATGATTTGTGTGCTAGAGTGGAGACACAGTTGTGGGTTTGGACCATGTAAAATGGCTTCTTGTGGAAGAAACTGGTGATGTGAACTTGAGGCTATTTTTACCCAACTTCTCAAGAGAAGGAAAAGGGATGGGTGAATTGCAGGGAATCCACTTACAAAACAGATCTTGGCTTTTGTTTTCTCTAGTAAATTGCACAGCTACTTTTGTTTGTTACTGAGAAAGTTCCAAAGAAGGAACTACAAAAGTAGCAACATTGTCAGAAAAACCCTCTTGATGCTAAGAAGGTGCTGTGGTCAGTTGGGGCGTTTGGGCTCAGAGAACAAGAATAGCCTTGCTTCCCATATGCAAGCATTATGTTATGATTGACGTTTCAAATGATGGGGATTCACAGACTTCTACGACAGCAGCACTAGTACGGTAATAACAGTTTTGTAGAAAGTGCTGGTACATTTCACAGCAACAGCCCGACAGGTCTGCTACCCTTCTTGTCCATATCTTTTTGGTTTTTTTGGCTAACCAATCTCAAGATACCAAAGCTAAATTTCATAGACAATAGTCCGAGATCACATTCTCAAAGCCTGTTATTAATCTGTTTAGAAGTCTTTTCCAGCCACAACCATTTTGGTCAAAGAGGATGTTATTCGTGGGAGAGCTCTGGGTACGAGTACAAGCTCTTCACATGTTCATCCACGTACAGTCAATCACACAAACACAGACTTTTGTTTTTTCCCGTTATATGTTATCTTCAGAGCTCTGGCCTATCCTTTTGTCTTTTATAGTCCTTTCC